TGTATGGCGGATGCATTAAAACTTCCCAACCAAGCTCCCGAAGTTTCTCGCGAGTCACTGTAGATGTGTGTGGCCTAGCGTTGTCTTGGTGGAACACGACATCTCTCCTGTTGGCCAATTCTGGTCAATCGCTATCTTCAAACGGTCCAGTTGTTGACAGTAGAGATCAGAATTTAGCGTTTGGCCATATGGAAGCAACTCATAATAAATAATCCCCTTCCAGTCCCACCAAATGCATAGCAAAACCTTCCTGGCCGTTAGTCCTGGTTTGTCCACCGTTTGAGGTGCTTCACCGCTCGTTGACCACGATCGTTTTCGCACAGAGTTATCGTATATGATCCATTTCTCATCTCCAGTCACCATCCGTTTAAGAAATGGGTCTATCTCATTCCGTTTGGCCAAGGCTTCGCAGATGGAAATTCGATCCATCATGTTTTTTTCTGTTAATTGGTGTGGCATCCAAACATCGAGCTTCTTTTTGAATCCAGCTTTGTGTAAATGGTTTAAAACTGTTTTATGGTCGATTTTTAGCTCCTGGGCGATGTTACGACTGCTAACTCTCCGATTTTATCGACATTTTCGACGACCGGCCTACCTGTGCGAGGTGCATCTTTAACATCAAAAATTCCTGAACGAAATCTACGAAACCAAAATTGCACATAATTGGCTGTTACAGTATCGGAACCATAAACACCATCCACAATTTTAGCCGCCTGGCTTGCATTTTCGCCTTTGTCAAAGAAAAACTGTAAAATGTACCGAATTTTCTCTTTGTTCACTTCCATTTTTAACACGCTGTAACTCACAACTGAATGCACCAAACAAAAAACAGCAAAAGAATTTTTTTTACTGCGAAATGTCACCTTTCCAACGAGCATAAATCTGAAATTGTTTGATCGATACTTTACGAGAAATCTATCAGTGCAGCCATCTACCGAAAAAATAATGGATTTCTTTTTCCCCAAACTAATACATGTCATTTCACATCATTTCGATCGTTTGCGGAGGTTTTAAAGAAGCCGCGTATTATTATTTTCAAAACAATGGAAAAATCCGCAATCCGTGTGTTTATTAGGCATTTCTATTTCACGGGAGGAAAACCATTCGATCTCGGCCTTGGCTTGAAAAGTATTATGATAAATCTTCTTCATCGAAAACAACAATTTGCTGGATTTAAATGAGATAATATAATTATTGTTGATGCTGAATGAACTCTGTGAACGCATTAAGGCGATGTTTACGCCAGAAAGCAGAGATCAATGAAAAATAATGAGAAGGATGCATGCTGCGCTTAAGATACCAAAAGACGGTGTATTCACTAATTTGCATAAAGTTGAAGTTTGAATAAATAGTTTGTTGGCATCGTCTTCTCCAGACCACACGGCTAGCGATTGCTGAGCGTTGCATAAAATGATGACGTAACTACGGAAGGATCACAAATCATTCTGTGAAGAAAGCATTAAAGTCCTAAAAGAGTGTTGATGGACAGAGGTTATGTTGACGCTTAAATTCGAATTTTGTTGAATTTAAATGTCCTTTCTTTGAATTTGGTCGCCGGGGGCCTCATTGAAGAATACATTAAGGTATCGAGATGCTGGCTTTAAGGTTAAGTTTTTGTCGACCTATTTGATATATCGTATATCGTTTTTATATCTACATCTTCGATCTGAGATCGATTTACCTTTCATTGTACCTTTCAAACGTTCAGAATAACTTTACAAAACGATTTAAGCTTCGTCTTGTCTTGTTTTCTCCATGTTCAACATACAGGTCGAAACTTTTTAGGCATTTTTATGAAACCTAGTATACTGACGTGTTTCGGCCCAATGTTGAACAACCGTAGAACGATGTATGATATTTAATGATCGGCCGTGTTTTTTTACTTGTATGACTTAAGTAAAATCCATAAAAATTTGGAATTTTTTTATAAAAATTCTACGTTAATATATTTTGTAAATATTTTAAAAACACGGAACAACTTGCATAGATCATATGCTATGTCGCTGTTGAGAAGTCTACGAAAGCCCTTGAAATTTAAATCGACGACCATTGAGTTGTTAGTCGGGATACCTTGTCTTACGAACGGAGGATTGTTTGCGCAGAGACGTGAAAATAATAAAAAGCATTCAAGGAAATCCGAAAAGTAATCCGACAAACTACTATCGCTTCGTATGCAAAATTATGATATAAATGTTGTGATGATCACCCAAAGAATGAAAATTGGTTTTAAAATTAATTTACCTTTGTTCACTGATTATTTTTATTAAATACAGAACCTTTAGTTATAATATATATAAAAACACGAAAATGTATTATCTATAATATCAATAGTTTTTGTATATATAGGTATCTATGTATATACTTACAACAAACTCAATGATAGCTCTCAGTATGTCATAATAAACATATTCAGTTTAGCAATATGGCGTAATGGGCAAGAAGAAAATTGTTATGGAATTTAATTTTTATTAAAATTCCTTGCTAGATCTCACGTTATCGTAATGAATCTTCAACTTGCTCTTTTATTCACGTTTTCATATATAATTCACATAAAAAGTTTCTTAAATGTTTTGAGTTAAGTTGAAATATATACAACAAAATTATACATACTTGTGAACGCACAATTGTAATAATAATACATACATACATAATAAAAGAATAATACAATAATTAAAAAAAAACATTGCGTAAGGGTCCATTAAAAACGATACATATATGAAAAAAAGAAACCAAAACACAAAAAAAAAAAGGATAATGATACAAACAAATGTTTATAAAAATTTTAATGAATTAATTTAGATAGCATTATGTAAAAAAAAAAAAATCTATACAAAATGCAGGGACGAAAATTGAAAACAAGCGAAATACTAGCTTTAAAAAACTGGCCCATAATTCTCTAATGCACAAATGCCGGCTCTAACTAATGGATTTTAAAATTTTTTAAAACTTGCTACGCTCTAATAATGTTATGATATGATAATTATTGCGATGTGAATTTCACGGAGGAAGAAACCAAAAACAAAAAAAAGAAAGCAAACGCAGAGAGAGAGAGAGAGAGATAGAGAAAGGGAGAGAAAGATATACAAAGAGAAAGAGAGAAAAATAGACGAAAAGAGATCTTTAATTAAAGAGAGTTTTCAAAATGTATTTCGGATAAAATTATTTAAGAGAGAATCAACGGGGATATATAAAATGGCACACTACACACGTACATATGCTAAGGCCGCATAAATATTATGCAAAGATATGATTATCAGAATTTTAGAATTAATTTTCATTTGCTTGCAATATAAATAAATTCAATTTAATTAGAGAATTCTATTTAATGCATTATTATTAAAAAGAAAAAAAGTTTTCATTTTCATTCTCATCAACATTAAACAAAGTTCACTAAGTAGATATAGTTAAGAGATATAAATATATATTTACAAAAGATTTATGATTATACGATAAAAAAAAAAATAAAAAAAAAATTAATAAATTGATTGAGAGATAGATTATGAGTACTAGAGATAGATTTACACGGTGGTTTTCTTTGTTCGTCTACACGTTATCGAAACAGAATATGAAAACTCTTCTCTTAATAATATCTTTAGCAAAAAGAATGAAAAATAAAGCAAAATATTTAACTCTCTTAAAAAAAAAAGTCTCATCACATCAGGATATATCAATCCCATATAAATAGGGAAATTTCCGCTTTAAGAATCCCATAATAGTCATTGCAAGAATATCTTAGTCTGTAGAAAAAAAAGCGCCGTAAAGCTTTAAGTTAAGAAAGACATTCAGTTTTATATATAAAGAAACTAGAGAAAAATTAAAGGAAACACGATAGTACGGAGAGAGACTTAAAAATGAGAATCTCCTCGTTAAACATCAAAAAAATGCACCTTCCTTTTAAAACTTAACTAAATTAAAAAATATTTATATTATCATAAAAAAAAAAAAAAAAAAAAAAAACGTAAGTACTTCATATTTTCATAAATTAAGATTGCACTGAACATAATTCCCGCACTTTCTAACTTGTTTAAATACCGATTTCTTTTTCCATTGTGTGTGTGTGTGTGTGTTGGTGTATATATATATATATATATATATATATATATATATATATATATATATTTATGTGTGTGCTATTACTTACAATAATTTAATTTTCTTCAAGTTGAATAATTAATTAATAATGATGCAACAGCGGTCCCGGAGCAGCATGAGCAATAGGTGCAGCATGGACCACAGGTGCTGGAGCCGGTGCCGTTTTATGTACCACAGCATTAAATCCATTATGATCATCAGCTGTATAATCAACGGTACGCACTGAACCATCCGGCTCGACTAAAGAATATTGACCCTTTACAACATCACCATCGCGCTCCTCAGCTTGCGATTTAATATCACCAGTATGGGGATCTTTAATGCCATAATTAAATGAATATTTCGGATATGCCTATGCAAAGATTAATTTCACACAATTATTATAATTCTCGTTTTTCGTTTTCGTCAGATTAACGCGTATGTTTAGAGCAAGTTATAAACTTACAACTGGTTCGGGTTGAGCATGAGCTATTACCGGGGCATGTGCTAAAACAGGAGCAGGTGCATAATGACCATATTCGACAGGATTACATTGCACAGCAACTGCCAGCAGAGCAATAGCAAAGAAAAGCTAAAGTAATATGAGAATGCATTAGAAAAAAGGAGAAATAATTGAAAATAAATTATATAAGATATTTATATATAAATATGAATCTTCATTTATATATGTATATATATTTCGTTTGGAACACAACCTGTTAAATTGAAATGAAATCGTGCTTTTTCCTGCACGCCACTAAAGGATGAGGACACTGTTATTCAGGCACTTTTTCTCTAGCAACAAAAAATGCTTATTAAAAAGCCTCTACTTTATTATGTATACACGTGACCTTCTCGTAAGTGCATCACATTTTTGTTCGATTTGTGCAACGATTTGTGCCTAGAAATTTGCTTCATTTTTCAATTTGTCGAAGTGCATGTTTAACTCTTAAATGCATACTGTTGACAATTGTCTACATTCCAATTTCTCTTCTTATTTTTAAATTAAGTTTTTAAAAAAATTTAAATAAAAATAATTAAAAATTGACAAAAATGTGCATTTAAGGCTTAGAAAAAAAAAAAAAAACCTTATAGCAAAGGTTGCTACATAAGGAGATTTGAGGTTTTAAATATAGAATCGCAATTCCATAGCCATGCATATTAAGGATGTTAAGGTTAATGTTTTACCAAAATTCTTTACGTACACTACCAGCGATTTACTGTTCTTTCGATTGTCTTGATAAATGAATATTGAATGATATTAAATGTGTTATGTGAAACGCACTTATATCCACGAAAATCTGATGCACTCTTCATGCCAGTGGTTTAATCGAGCGCGCTTTTTTCGCGAATGCAGCCATTTAATTAATGGCGACCATACACTTTAACCGTTGATTTCTAAGACAAGTCAGTAAGAGTTATGGAAGACACAGTTCGATGAGATGCGCATTTTATGAAAAAGTCAATTATGCCCATCGATGAATTTGAAGCCTCGTAACGTTTGCAGCACATACCATACTATAGCACGTGTGAATGATCGCAATCTTTGGATAATTTAAAATCGTACCTTGGATTAATCAAAAAAAAAAAAAAACCTAGTGCTTAAGGTGCAAACGCTTTATCAAAATCAGAAGTGCGGCATAGCTTACGCCGCGCTTCTACAGAACAACGATGTTAAAACGCGGACTCACATTATTTAAGATAGGTATAAAAGTGAATCATACACTATCGCCTGCTCCAACCTGATCAGATGATTGATTCCCCATTCCATATTTGATCAATTGAAAGGACGTCGTGTTCTATTACGACAGCTGAACTGGAAAGTTTCGATGCATCCATCACTATATAAACCTGATCGGTTACCATTCCTTTCACTTTCACACAAAAAGCAGAAAAGTGTAAAATTGATTTGACATGGGCTTGTGAAAATTACTTAGTTCAATTTTTTGTCAAGGAATTCCAGAAGCTCTACAGCGAAGGCTTTTTTTCTTGATACAATATGATCTTTCAAAGTCTTACAAACAGTTTACGATGACTTGTATAACAGCTGAAGAAAATTGAGTTCTACAGGCAGTTGTATTAGATCGGCTAGGCTATACGCCCATAAGAAAATCTTTAGTGCAACGGTGGATATCGCTGAGATCACTGAAATACCCGCTTAATTGTTTCGTGGTATATGCTACATGAAGAAATCCGATCCGATCATTATATTGATGCAATATTCCTTTGATATCAAAGGGATCTACGCATACAACGACGGGGTCTACGTACGTAATTATATTATATGTGTGCAACTTGTGCATTCAACTGATGGTTGCGATATGAGGAGGAAAAGAAAAAATCCAAATAGAAATTGCCTTTAACCACTCAGGAGCATTAAAGATTGGCGGAACAAAAAATATATTTACGCGAATAACATAGTAAAACCCAGGAAGTAAGGAAACCTACTTCCGTGAGCTCGTGCTAACAGAACAGAAACTCGTACGCAGAACAGATGAACGCAGTTATTGTGACAAGTCGAGTCCTTGGATTTACCAAGATTTTAACAAGCAACGTTAGGCAAAACCAATACGTTCTCTATATGCTCGAGAAAAAAAATTCATAACAAAAATCATTGAAAAATATCCACACATTCTTAAATGTCACTCCAGCACTGCGGAGAAGACATAGTAAAACATAAGAAGTAAGAAAATTATTTTCTATTGTAACCGAATTTTTTGTACCTACCATCTCTCTATCCGAAAGTATACAAGGAAACTAATGTTTCGTACCCATTATGGGTCGATTTTTCCCATTTTTGTGGTATATTTTATTGCGCGCCTATTAACATTTTGGAGTAATAGACAAAAGGACACCTAACTAGAGGTGCTCTTACTTTATGTTGCACTGTCGGACAAGAACTTTCAACGTTTCTGCCAAACTTGATGTCAATACCATCCTGCGGACATACTTAGATCTAAAGCTTACTTCTACGTGTTACAAATGTGCTGACAGATTGAACATACCCCCATTCTACGGAAATGATGGGTAGAACAAAAACATTGACAGTAAATCATGACCGTAAGAGCAAAAGCGGCTCCAATTTGAAATATCCGCAAACGAATGGATTTTTTCACATTTCATAATGAAAACTCGTTCATCATTGACAACAGAATGCTAGAAATTGTTTTCACGATAAAAGACAAGTGAATACTCTTTACGCTAGTTGATCGTTTCCCAATATGACCGACTTCCGGTGGGCACTGTCAAATAACATGAGAATACATTTAAAAAGGACATAAATAGATAACCCAAGCCAAGGATTGCTGTGCTTGAATGGAACTAAGATGAAAATTTGCAATCGAAACAGATGTGATTTTGTTTGGTAATCTAAACCGATTTGCCCAAAGATGTGAAGTGAGATCGTATTAAAATTGCGCTTCCTACACCAAAAGTACCCAAAGGAATGATTTTATCGGGAAGCGAAATGGAATTACAATGAACAAGTAAGAAAATTATATTGGGTCGTGAACGACTTTCTTATATCCATCAAAAAAAAAAAAAAAAATTAAAATATTAAGTGGGCGCGGCTAATTTTTTTATGGTGTATGCGTTGCACTTTATGAGTAACAAGCAAAATACATGGAAAGAAAAGACGTTCGCAGCTTTTTCTACATAGACATGTTTCTCGAAAATTTTGCAAGTTATGCAAGTTTGTAGAATAAAGTTTACCATGTATACTAACTACACATATACAAACAGTTACTCAGATGGGTAGATGGGCATGAATTTGAACCTGGCCAAGAATTTATATACTTAGCGAGATTCGTGAAACTTGCTTGTATGCTTTATAATGGTACTGAAGATAAAATTCAATTTTGATACGCTATCACTTTGGCATGGTCAATTTTTGGGATTTTAGTACCGAGTATACAGCATCGTTCATAGAATATATGTTCGGATTTTTTTCGATTTATCTGCTATAATTTATAAGTGATGGGCAAAAATTCAATTTTTCTACTCTTTTAAAAAAGCAGAGGTATTCTTAGTTTACGTGGTACTGTACGTGGCGTGTCTACGTGCAAGAATTTCTAATGTTCCGCAACAGACATGCTGATGTGGATGCTGATGCTGATCAAGAATATATATAATTTATGAGGTCTCAGAGGTAAAACTACCTTCTGGGCGTTGCAAACGTTTTGATAAAATGAATAAAACCCTGATCCTTCGATGATAGGTACAATAAATTGAGAGACGCATGCTCTAATCAAATTCTCTTTATTCGTACTACAACTGTAAAAGGACCTTAGAGATAAATAAGTTAGAAAAGTAAATGTATGTAAATTTCCAGATTTCTTAAAAAAAAAAAAAAAAAATTACTTGTATATAACGCTAATAGGTCTTTAAGAAATCGTGGTGTCTCATGGTTTTCTAAAACTTTTTAAATAACTTTTTACAATTACTAACGTTTATCAAATATGATACACTTTGACAAAAAAACGATAAGGATTTAGTTTAATAGTTTTCTTCTTTGTTCATTTTTCTCTCTCACTTGTATTTAAGACATTTTTTTTTGTTATTGTTTTTTTTTTTTTTTTTTTTTTTTTGAATACTATTGCTTTAAGCTATAGTCTATACCTTCATTTTATGTGAAATGCGAAGAAATTCGGTTTCCGAATGATTCGTCTCAGTGTAGCACAAAAATTAAAAAGGACGTGATACTTAACAGAGGCACTTAATCCGATATCTGAAGTAAAATAATAAAATGTATATAACGTTGAATTCTAAGCTTTTTTTTTTTTTGTGTTTCTTTTGCTTGTAAAGTACCAACCGTTAGCAAGAAAATTAAATTTAAACTGATGATTGTCTTAAATGACCAAAACTATTTATATAGGCGCTCACAAATCTATACAGAAGAAAATAAACAAACGAATGCAATAGAGACAACACGGTATGGTATGGCAAGAAAGAAAACAAAAACTAAATTTCAAACATCGCTAAAAGACAAAAATATAAAGATTGAAAATACCCAATATTTACTTTGGCTGGCTGGAGTTTGGAGTTCAGTCTAGAGAGTTATAAATAAAAAAAATAAAAAAAATGCAAATGCCTCGAGGCGAATTTTCAACCACCACCAGCACCACCACCACCACCACCACCACTACCACTACCACCACCGCCATTTCGAGTCAATGAGCAAGTTACGAAATAATTACGAGCCTGTCAATCGATCGGCCCATCAAAATGATTCTCATGCTGAACTTTTAAAGAGTACTCGCGACCATATGTTGGATGGTCGTGTGATAATTGTCAAGCTTTAAATCCCATATCTCAATTTTGCAAACATATAAAGCAAATGTATAAAAAAATCTTATATCGGTCAAGTATATAATATAATATCTATGTATGCATGTACGGAAATTGCAATTCGCGCCTGTGGATGTTACAAACGAAATAATAAATCTTGTATATCTCCTTTAGTTGATGGTGGGTTTTAAAAAAGAAGAAGAAAGATGCAAGATATAAGCGCATAAAACAGCAACAACAGCAACAACAGCAACAGTAACGAAAACAGCAGTCGCAATATTATAGATAACATATGTATGCGAGTAATGTTAATATGAAAAAAGAAAAATAATTTTCCAACACATGCACATCTACATCTAAAGTTGCTTGCTGTATATTAGATTTAATGTTAAGTAAAAAAAAATGAAAAACAAAATTACAAACTTCAACCACGCATGTGCCATAATCTCTTTAAACGTAAACGTCAGACTTAGCTTAAAATTTCGGCAAAACTCAAGGCAGTACCTACGCGATATATATATATATATATATATATATATACGCATACGTATAAATGAGTAAACTCCGGCATAGAGTGTTTGGTGCATAAAAGTAAAAAGGTGCGGTAGGCTTTAACCTGCAGCTTATGTTTAGGCGTCTGTCAAATATTAAAGGTGGCGTTAACCAACACATTTCATTTTCAACAATTTGTGGTTTCTTTTTTCTCGTCTATCTATGTTGTCAATAACAGCAAACAGCAAACAGCAAAATGGCAAAATAAAAATCTACAAAAATCGGGTTAGCAAGACTTAAAGGTGGAGTACTTTGCATTTATATATCTACTAAACTTGTAAAGTATCACAGCATTGTTTCTTCTCGCTTTTCGTTTTTTCGCTTTTAGCTTTTCGCTTTGATTTTTTGTTGACTATTTTCGTTTTTTTTCTCTTTTTTTTGCATTTTTTACTTAAATATGGCCTTAAAGAACTTTACGTTCAATGACTTTCGTTTTTAATTCGAATGTAGTATGTATGTCATTTCTTTCGCACAGACCAAATTTGAGATATGCTTGACATATGTAGAACGAAAAGTACTGTAATTTAGTAAAGTGAACGTAAAAAATGTATGTATTTATTATTTATCATTTTTTTTTTTTTTTTTTTTTTTTTTTTGGTTTTTAATAAATATATTATTTATAATTGTTGCATCGTTTATTTCGCTAACATATACATATAATTCATAACAATTGAAACTAATAATAATTGAAAATTATATGAAATAATCTGCAGTAACTGATCAGTCAGATCGTCCTTTATGAACAAAAATGAATCCTAAAGAAGAAGTGGAATGTTTGATACACTTTTTAATCGATCCATTTAACACTTAAAAAATTCAAGATAATTGTGAAAGAGGGGCAACCTAGGCAACATTTATCCGGAGACTAGGACGTGTAAAACATCACATGTGACCATCAACTATTTCCTCCTCTCTTCCTGAACACAAAACACCAACCCTCATGGAAATGAACAAATAGCGGTCATATACACGCTGCAATCATTAGAAAAGCATACATGACGCGATGCATCCATTTTCTGGAAATAAATCTCCTGAACTAAGAGTCATATATGGAAATTTCTTGTATATACAGTCAAACCTGTTTTTGTGCGGTAGATAGTGACCGCAGAAAAAAAACCGCACAAAAAAAATATTCAAAAACTTAATAAATAGCTATAAGAAATAATTTTTCACAGCATATTAAAGAAAATTTTTTTTATGCGGTAGAGAGGGAACGCATAAAAAAAGTCTCACTTAGAAAATATGTCAAAGCTTTACGAAATAGCAAGAAAGTGCTTTCCAAACAAAATAAATAATTAAATTACACATTGAAACATTTAAAAAAATTTTAATTTCTAATTTTAAACAAAGAGAAATTTTCTAAATGTACATAATTCAATACTACTCGTCCTAGTTCAAAACGCGCATATTAATCCTGTCTTAATGGTTAAAAGGTCAGCAATTAAGTAAAATGAAATGAACCTTACAAAATTTGGACCATCTACTCCTACTTTTGAATCCTGCCCCCATGTAAGGATTAAACTTGCACTGTGTTAGGTTGCGTTTTGGGCCAGCTTCCTTATAAACGTGCACATGAACAATATACCTTTATATAGAAACAAAATATAATTTTTGTGTTCTATAATTTGTAAAAAAATAAAAACTTGTTACACTATGTGGTGAAGGATATTTAATCGCCGGCCTGAGCCGACTGTAATGTTCTTAGTTGTTTTTGTAGAACTATGTATTAGATAAATATGAAGTATATGAGAGTAACGTCAAAGCTGAAGACTTACAAGTGCAAATGAGCCGTCAAGTCGGTTTCAGTGTCCACGTTCATTAGGATTTCCTATGGCTTGTGGCGCATCTATCTGTCTATCTATTTCTTTCGACGATTTGCAAATATTCAACTTTGTGTAAGTGTCTGTAACTTTTAAGCAAGCCGAGTGAGATTTTGGATAACCTCAACTGAAGGATTAGGTCGGGCTCATTTCATCAAAACGTTTGCAAAACTCAAAAGGAAGCTTCATAGACCTGATGCAATAGGTATGAAAATGGCTGTTGCAATGTGTACATACACACTGATAGCAAAAAAAGTGATGCCAACACAGTTCAGATTGACCTAACCTTTCGGCGAAATTCAATGTGTCGATATTCATATACCGCACAAAAAGAAGAATCGCACAAAAAGAATCGCACAAAAAAAAGAATCGCACAAAAA